CGGAGCTCGGCGTTGGTGCGGAGCAGCCCCCCGTCCGCCGTCGGCGCGCGGACGAGGCGGTCGTACAAGGCCGCCGGGTCGTCCGGGGCGTCGTGGTGGTGAAGGGTGGGGTCGGGCTCGCCGGCCTCGGCCCCCCAATCGGCCGCGCGGGCCTCGCGCCAGGCCCGGGCGACGCCCTCGGGGAAGTACCCGGCGACGTCGCGCAGGTTAAACGCGTAGACGGCGGACGGGTGCGCCCGCGCGTGAAGGAGCTGGCGAAAGGCCAGGCACGTCGCGGAAGGGAAATACGCCGGTGTGAGGGGGGACCTCCACCGCGGCGTGGCCCCCCCCAATCATAGGTGAAGAACGAAGAGGGGTCCTCGTGGGACTCCCGACTCGGCAGCGCACCCATCCGGGACGAAGGTTAGACACGGACGTAACCCCCCCCTCCCTCCTCCTTCTCTCGGAAAAAAGGTAAAGTAACGTAAAGTAAAATAGTAAAGCAAACGGAAGTCCAAACAAACACGGCTTAAACTAAAAAGGACAACTGGATTTTCTAACATATATATATATCTGTAATATATATATATATTGATATATATTTATTTTTATATAAAGAGAGAGATATTTAAGGCCGATTGTTTCGGGTTTCTTACTTCAATTTTATTTGGTCTGCTTTGAAAATAGACTCACACAAAAGAAAAAACGATTCACCAAGGATGTCACAATGTTCTGTTTCCTCACCCTTTTTGCACTCTAAAATGTTGTAAACAATATAATTTGATTGTCTATATTAATTCATGCCCTCTGAGAAGGGAGTCCCAGAAGAGAAATAAAAGAGAGGGTAAATAGCTCGAAAATCCAATAGAATTTACATATATGTATATCCGAGATAAAATGCGATCGATCTGAAAGGCACTATATTTTCTCCACTGATGTGTAATCAGGCTTTAGATTACCCAATTACACAAAAACAAAACAAAACCAAAGAAGTAAAGCCACACAGACAATCAAATGTAGTCATATATATATTTTTCTTTTCCTGTCCAAGGGTTCTGTAAATCTATAAGGAAATTGCATTAGCTCCGTATTAAATTTGTCCCTTATTATATTTATTAAAAGGAAAAGGTCGTATCAACAATCAAAACAGTGTGTAGGATCAATCAAACATAAAGGCTTTATGACTTAAGTTAATCAAATACGATTATTTGATTATGCATATATAAAAAGGTATACAAATAAATCGCTGAGATAAAACACGGCCATTGGCAACGTTGGCGTGCGATTTTTATAGTGAAAGGACATGTATATAATTTTGTAACCTGTAGACAAGTTATAGGATGTGCAGATAAGTACACACCCTTTTTTAAGCACTTTTAGGGAAAATGGAAACAATGAAACTTCACAAAGGTACACATACATGAAATACATGAGAATGCAAACCCATGAAACCATCAATATCATGAGTAATAATTTGTTTTTTTAGATAGTGGGTAGAATCTAGGATTTTTATAATTACCGTCTATCGTTAGGGTTCTCAATGCTCTCTGAATCATCGCTGTCGCAGAAATTCTTGTTCAACGTGCTGTAAGGATCCACTCTTACAAAAAATTCGCCGTTTAACTCGATTTCCGCGCGGCGTTTTTGTTGCTCATCTTCCTTCAAGCCTATTCTGATCACAGCGAATAGTATGTATACAAGTAATATAAAAAGTCCTAACAGTAATAGGAAGATGAGTATCCAATACTTGTGAACCAGGGATCGCTTGATTGTGTAGGTGGTACGAACATAGGGATTTGGAAAATTTCTTTCAACAAAGCCCATTGGATAATATCTCTTATATTTCCCAGTATAGTAACCTTCTTTTTGAAAATGATTGGATAAATAACCAAAAAGGCATTATTTAACTGCATGACTTACTGATATTGTTGTTTTATTTTTTCAAATTCAGGGCCATCATGGCTATTTAGTTGACTTATAAGTCATTTAGATCTGCTTTATATGGCTCAAATTACCAGCTCCTCATTCAATAAAAAAATTTTACAAAACTCCCAAACACTACCAAAGAAGGCAATGAAAAAAATCACTCAGAAATAAAACAACAAAGACTTTCAAATTATTAATATCACTATTTTCCATATTCCTTACCAAGCAATTATATCCGAATCAGAGGTTCCGCTAGATATCCAAAAGAAATAGATCAAACCTACGCTTAAAAAACTTATAAGTCATACAGGAGTAATATATACATGTATACGCATATTAGTATAAATATAAATATATGTATATATACAGAATATATAATATTGAAAACCAAATTAAGCACCATCTACGCATGCATATCACATTTCTATGCTTAGAAATCAGATTTACTTAGAGAAATCATTAACGCGTATTTCTCAAAGAAGCCTCGTGGCATGGTAAAAAACGCACAAGTCTACTTATATGTGGGCGAATAAACATGATAAAATAACGCTATAGGTGTTATACTATCCGGATGGATTGTTATCCAAACTTTAAAAATATTAAACGATACAAATAACTGATACATTGTTTAAAATTCAACCGTAAATCTAATTAGAAATGTATACTTATTTCACTTCTTTTACGATAATATAATTTTCTTGATTTATTAACCTATCGAGCTCGAAGATAAATCGTTTCGAAATTTGATACAAGGAAGGATCTTTCTTAAACATGACGAATGTTTGTTGAGGGTATAATAAACACATTTATATACTATAAATTGCTTAGCATTGAAAATGTATTGCTATAGATATGGTAGACAAATTATTTTACTGAAAGGTATGGCAATACACTTCGTTTTTTTACCCATGATAAAAAATTTAGACACGACAATTGCAAGTTGTAAAAGGAATTAGACCTTTGATATTCCAAAATTATTATCATAATAGTCTTAACCAGTTACATATCAAGATTAGGAAAGAAATGAGAAGATCAGCTCGAAAATATAAGCTCTTAGCAAATGATAACCTGTATATATATATATTTATTTATTGTACATATATGTTGTATAGACATAAATCAACACGAATGTCGACATATTTGGTATGATTGATGGGTCATTTTATCGGCAAAGGCCAGTGATAAACTCGATGCGGAAAGACATTCCGAGGTCATGGTTAACGTCGTTGTGAGGATATTCATACTCGACTCGTACAGCGCCTGATCGGATTTTTTTTGATCCGCGTTTAAACCTGTGGAGACCCTGTGAGGCACCATATCTACTTCTGTGGCTTGTGTATTAAGGTTAATGGAATCCATTTGTTTTCCTTTGCTGTTCTCAGAAAATATGCTAAGAGAGCGTTCGGCCTCCTCGTGAGCATTTTCTTGACAGCAGAATAATGACATATCAGTGATATTATCAATCGCCAGCAGATATGGGCGATTCTCATTGGTGTAGTTATTGTTTTCCGAGCAATAATTCAAGGTTGAGGACCAGTGATATAAACTGTCGAGGTCATCATCTTCGTCGTTTTTACCAACTGACGAGTCATCCTCGTGGGCCTGAGCCTTTATTTTTTCGAAACCCATACATACACCACGTGGCAACTTGTGGGGTGTGTTCGCGGTGGAACCTATTGTCGATTTCTTGTGGAGGGAGTGAAAGTTACTGTTAATGTCTTCATCTCCATCACAGAAGCACGACCTTATGGGAGTTTTGCAAGTTTCTTGGTTATCCTTGAGGACTTGTATTGAGTTGGAATAGGATAAATTCCTATCCATTGTGAACAAGTTCGCAATGGGGTTCTGCAGAGATTCTAGACATATTTGTAAATTCGTCTCAGCGTCACCAGACTGGTACTTTCTGGAGTATGTCAAGAGGAGCAAAAATCCCACCAAAAGTGCGATGTTAGTGACAATAATTGCCACTACCACAAACTTGATGATCGAAATAAGTGCAAAAAGTGTGAATACAAGCATCTAGATTATATATGCATTCAGGTCAATATATATATTTATATTTTGATATATATATATATGTATAGATCAATAGTACAATGAAACCCCTTTTCCCTTAAAGGTTTTATAATCTTGTATAATATCCGGGAGAGGCTAAATTGACTCGGGCGTTTTTTCAATTTGTTTGTATTGAATCCCTTCCTAAAGAAAAGTGTATCTTTGAGGGATATGTTGCGTCACAGGCACTTCTAAAACTATAATTAATAAGTTAATTAATCTAAAGAATACAGTAAATGGAAAAATAGACTACAGGTGCTTATAACTTGAGGTACAAACAAAATTAATTCCGTTACTTCAAGCCTTTATAAAATAAAGGATAGAAACATCGAAGACACTTTTAGGGAAATCTCCAGATGAACACAATATGGAAGATTAAGCCTTTCATTCCTGAGAATCAGAGAGTGAATAGAGGATGCTTATCATATTTTAAAAC